ATGAAATTGGGATATAGGGAGTAAAACTTTTCATATAAATTTTTACTACATAAATTTTATTTTTAAATTTTACACCTTCAATTGAATAAATTGAATTGAAAATAAAGTCACTAAAATCTCGTAATACGTAATGAGAAAATGTATGAGCAACGGAGAAGACAGTATTCAATTCTAACACAATTATTATAATTGAAAAATTAAAAAAAAAATCGTGTTCCACGTAATGCCATTCAACTTGTTAGACAAAATAATGTCACGGTCAAATAGTACGTATATAAGTCAAATATAAATACAGTACAGTGTAACGAATAACGCGTGCATTAACAAAAGGGTGCACTAAATTTGCTCATATTAAAAAGGTTCACTTTAAGGGGCAATTTATGTTTTTTTAACACTAAAAATAACTGTTAAGCAACATGGAAAGAAAATTAAAGACGACTTATATAAAACTTCAACTTCTCAAAATGAAAATTTAAAGTTTTTGTTATAATAGGAACATATTAAATTATATTGAGAACATATAAATTTTCTTTTGTTAGTAGGAGGGACACTCAAAATAAGGTTGTTTGTTGTTGACTTTGAAATTAATTATTAGCTTCTACTTTTCAAAATGTAAATTTATTTGTTATAATATGATTTTTTTTTGAGTTTTCTGTTGTCATTGTATTGAAAAAGTGTGAATAGATATTAAAATGTAATCGAATTTATAGAAAACAATATGATTCTTAACTTATTATAAATGATTTTTAAAGTATTTCACATAAGAAACTAAATTAGTTCCGACGCATTGGGTTTATTTTAGATGTGTATTTTCCAAATTTCGTTTGTCTTTTTCAAATCCTTTCGACTTCTTTCCATTCTTTCTAGATTTTTCCAATACTAAACTTTAGAGGTTCAGTCCATATATATGTTTCTTGCAACTAAGTACAAAGTTGGAACTAATCCAATTAAGGCTTTGTTCGTTTGGCTTAGAATTTTAGATTACATGTTGGAAGAAACCTGAAGGAGTTGAAAAAAATTAAACATTAATTTTTCCAACAAAAAAATAGAGCCTAATTATTGTTTGGTGCCATTGTTTTCAATTAATGTTTGTGTTTTGAATAATTTTATAATTGTACAAATTTATTTTAAAAATACTAAAGGTAAACGTTATTAATAAATACATTTTTAAAAACACTAAAACTAAACACTGAAATTGTTTAAAAGTGGGGATTTAAATTAGGTGTATAACAAGAGTGCATGGGTTTTGATGTTGTTTTAATTAGGAAATTCAACTTTAAAAAGCTAATGGTCCCAATGATTACAAAGAGTAACGTAAATTGGACTACTGAAATGAATGCCTTTTTCATCCCAAGACTAAGTACGGGTTAAATTAATTAATCTTGAATTATTTTAAATAACAATTCAATTTAAATTGAAACATATAAGATGTTTGATATAATAATTAATTATGTTGAATACATAATCAGATAATGAACGTTTAATATATGCAACGTGTTTTGTGGGATATTGTTATTACTCCCTCCTTCCTAACCAAATACCCCGGAGTAATACTTACATGGTCAAACTTTACTCGCAATCTTTACTGATTTTCATTAGTTTTTTGATAAAATAATATAGTCATGTCATCTCTTATTTTGCAGATGTTTTGATGTAGTTTTGAAATTAAGGCTTTGTGAGAAAAATATATTTAATTATAATATAAATTCAATATAATTGAGTTAATCCTAGGATATAGTTTTTTTGATATATCAAAATCTTATACTATTTATTTATTTAGATTATGAATAATTTGTGGTCATCAAAGAGTATCCTTCTTTGACAAAAAATTCAAAACAGGAAAGATTTTTAACACCGGGGGTACAAAACAAGATGTGATCGATAAGACTATATTATTTTATGAAATGAATAATAAATATAAAATTATTTACATTTGACCATGTGAATAGATTCTGAAAAAATATAGAGAGCCAAGGAAGATGTACTCCATATAAGTTTTTTTGATTTTTTGAAGTAATATTTACTCTATTACAATGTAATACATAATCATATCATTCAAATGAGATAAAAGTTAATTTGTTTTGATGTCAAGAAAAGGAAAAAGAACAAAGAAGGGAATAAATTGGCACAGGGCCACAAGCTGCCCACAAAAAATTAAGGATTCATTACATTTACTCCTTTTTTTTTCTTTTTCAACATTAAATAGGTATCACGTGATATCCATTCTCCATTGTTGCTAGTTCCTACAAATAAAACCCACCTTAAATCAATACCGGTATTTGAAAAGACAATATTGGAACTAAATTCTAAAATGTTTGTAATATTTCCTAAAATATTAAGTTTTCAATTTATTTTATTTAAATATTAGTATAAAAATAAAAAATAGAATTTATGTATTTAAAAATTACGTGAGAAGTTTTTAAAATAAAAGGTGTCAAATGTATTTTATTTTATCAAATAACCAATGAAAATGTATGAATAAGCAAAAGTTTCCGGTATTGTTGAAAAAGAAGATGTAGCATTCTTTTTTAAACGGAGGGAGTACATTATTGTATAAGAAAAGGTATTCGAAAATATTAAGTGGAAAAAGTCTCTCCCTATATTTTTTAAAAGTACTCATTAGTTTCCTAAATTATTTTAAATACTTGTCAGGTCTCTATACTTTCCGAATAGTATATAGATAGTTTGATCGACGACTTTTTCGACCAAACTCTAGCATACTGCCCATTTTTCTTTAATTTTTTTTAATTTCCCCCCTTCACTCATTAGATTTCTATATTTTCTTCTAAAGTACTCCATAGATCCTTATATATCTTGAGTCAAGCTAAGAATATTTTCTATTTTTCAGAAAATGAAAAAAAGATAAAATATATATTATCGATCTTTAAAAATATAGGTTATGCCAGAGACTTGGACAAAAAAATAGCGAGAATGACTACTTATGCACTACTAAAAACATAGTCTGATCTAGTCCGGTCCACAGTCCTAACATTGACTACGTAGTGTGTTTTTTTATTAAAAAGAACTCAACATAGCACAATGATGACATATTTTTTATCCGATAGTATAGTGATGCTTAATGGTCTAAGACTATGTTTAGAGAGTAAGAGGTACATGATAATATTTTTTATCCGGTACTACTCCCTCCGTCCCAGAAAGAATGCCACGTTTACTATTCTGGCCTCTCGATAACTTTTGTTTGTTTACTCGTTTTGGTTTACGAGTATACTTTTGAATGGTGTAATTTTTACTTTTTATTACTCTACCAATTTGAAATTAAAGTGATTTTAAAAGAGATGATATTTTACACGTCGTTCGAAGTGTTGCAAATAAATTGAGACGGAGGGAGTATTATACAAGTAATATATTAAGACAAGGATGACATCATGACAAGGTGTTTAAATTATTAATTATTTATGAAGTACGAGGTACTCTAGTAGTTAAATACTCTAAACTTTTTAAGAGTAAGTGAGTAACATAACATGTTTTTTTATTTTCAAAGAACTATTTGTAAATTTTTTTAAATAGCAATGACACTATACTAGTTATTGAAGTACTTTATCAAATATGGATGTTTGGAACTGTCCTTTTGTCCTTAGTAAGTATTTTCAAGTCTAAAATCTCTAATAATCATAGTATTGCAATTTGTTACTCTATTTGCATGTAATTGAGCAATAATATATACTAATTATAATTACTTAATAAATATTATAAAAATAGTTACTCCCTCCGTCCCTAATTATTTGTCTAGGTTTAACTTTTTACAGTCAACCACATTCAATCTTTGACCTATAACTAAATAAAATTTATATTGTATATTAATTAGAAAAAATAATATTTTGAAAATATTATATAAAACAAATTTAATAAAATTAATTTTGTATCAATGTATAATATCAATTTTACCTAACTAGTGGTCAAAGTTTGTCAATTCTGACTTAAAAAGTGAAATCTTGACAAATACTAATGGACAGAAGTAGTAGTATTTTTTTAAATTATTAATATTAGTCTTTCGATGATGGATCTTTTAGACAAGTCCTAGTTTTTGGACCGGTCTTTTACCAATTCTTAAGAGATTCACGTCTCCTGTGTCCTTTACTAGTCTCGAACTAGTCCTAGACTCCTAGTCCTTATAAAAACTAAGCAAATTATTACATGAATCTAAGATCTATAGTAGATTTTCATATATGTTAAATAAGTATTTTTGAAGTGGTTGAAATAATCACTTTTAAAACAAAAAATGCATGTGAGAAGGTTCATATAGATGTTAGGTCCACCATATGAAATCTATATAAACTAAGGATCATTTGAGAGTATCCGCTTTAGACCAAACTAGTCTCAAAGACTTGTTCAATCCCAATCATTTTGCCCTTTTCTAGATGAAAAAAACCTAATGGTATGCTTGGGAACATGGATTTGGATTTCAAATCCGGATTTGGCTTAAATTCCATGTTTGAGAAACTTAAGCATTTGGAATTTGGATTTGAATCAAATTCTTTACATTCAAAACAAAGCTTAATTTGAAATCCATGCACCTCTCATTGTCATTTGAAATTCAGGATTTCAAATTTTGGAATTGAAATGCATGAATTGAAATAAAATGCTAGTTGCCAAACACTACCTAAAGGTACTCTAAGTTAGTGTATCTCAAGTATATACCAGCTTCTTACAAATACATATAAACACCCTCTCAAGTGAAAAATTGATATACATTTAAGATACCCTAGCAATTCTAAACCAAAAGTATACACACCAACCTACCCACACTAACTTTGTAGTCCGTACAAGCAAGCAAAATTCAAACCTATAGTGAAGGGGAAGAGTGTGGGGGTGGAAAGTAGAATTTTCGGGAACTATGGGATTTTCGAAGTTTGAACTATACCGTCATCGCGCTTTCACGCCACCCCCACCCCTACCCCCACCCCCTTCTCGGCAACCCCGCTCCTTCTTCCCCATCCAGCTCTCTATAACACAGACATCACTCATCACTCTTCTCGTCTCTCCATCTCCGTTGCAAGATCGATCAGATCGTAACCCTAGCTCCGTTCTTGAGGCCTGCCGCCTCTGATATCCCGCCCTCGGAATGCTGAGTAAGCTCAGCTCTTACTCTTGCTTATGGGGGTTTTTCTTTTGCGACATTGTGACCCTTTTCTTTCTTTCTTTGGCCGGAAACGATGGAAATGCGAGTTTTTGAATCTGTGCGATTGAAATTTCCTTCTGGGCATTTTCCTGTTTCAGTTTTGATTTGAATTTCTGGTCTTGAATCGTTTTTCGTATCAAGGGTCCGGATCTTTTTGAAGTTTAGCTGATTCTTGATTCACAAGATCGGGGTTTTGATTCTTCTATTCTATTCACCAGTTTTTCCTGAAAAGGGCGTTTTTGTCTTTTGTTAATATAATTGAAGAATATGCAGAATTATTTTATTCATACTTCTCTTGCGGAAAGGCGAATGGTTAATTTATTCTGTTGAGTCATAAAGATGACTGGAAAAAGATATTCTAAATTTGATCTGAATTGCTATATGCAGCTCATTGAGGGATTTAATGATAAGAAAAAAGGGTCTTATTGACTAGGATAAGGTTAAACAAGAAAAATGTGGGTATGGATATTAATGGAGTTTAATCATAATCTCTTTTTAAATGTTGACTTTTTATTTTAATTTGTCTTGTATCATTAATATACCCATTTCATTTCTTAGTTGCTTACCTCATGAATTTTATATTTTACACCCCTGATCATATTCATATATAAGATCATGGCAGGCTTCATTGTTGTTTTGGTCTGATTAACCTTTTACATGTTCACACTTCTGCTCCACCATTAATATTTTCTTCTCTTACTTTTTAAATAACATGTTAGGGTAATGAAAGTCATGTTTGGTGAGGTGTGTGTTGAGTTTACAGTGTCAATTTTGCAGTGGGATATGGTTATAGTAACTCTCATAAGAACTATATTGTCTTCATCTCATTTTAAGTTCTATGCAAGTGGAAAAAGCTTATTATGAAGGAAGGAGATTCGGCACAAAACTTTGCCCTGTATTTTTTTGCATGGTTTTATGGTCTTTACTAATTATAGATGATTAATTAACGCTATAAATTTCATGCAACCGGCCCTAATATAGTTAGACTAAGGCAATGATGATGAAGATGTGGATCAAACTTGATACTTTTAACACAGAGAGTCTCAACCCTTAACCTGTCATTTTTAAGGCTTCCTAAGATATTTTTTCTTCTTTAATTAAATGATTTATTGTTTGTCTTGCTCCATACCAGTGATGATTTTTTTGAAGTCTTTTTCCCATTTATGTGCTTTCTCTCTAAATCTCAGTTTTATTTTTTATTTCTAAAATTTCATGGCTCGTGTAATAATGGTTATAACAATCTATTGGTTTTAGGATTGCAGCTCTAGCTTACTGAGTGAGGCTTGCAAATATGAAAAATGTGCCTTCTTCAAATGTTGAAGAGCACACAATGCCAATCACACGATCTCGAGCAAAAACATTGGCTTCTTCTGGAGGGCTACCTCCTTTACACCCGTTTAATCAAGACAGGAAAGAGTTCCAAAGAACAAAGTCAAAACGAAGTCTACCAGATGAGAAGCAACAGGATACTGGTCAGCCAAAGAAAAGAGCTGTTCTTGAGGATGTCACAAATGTAGTCTGTGGAAGTTCATCCTTTAACTGCATGCGGGAAACTAAAATCCAGGTAATGTTTTTTAAAAGGTAAGAGTGTGTTTGGTAAAAGGTATTTAGTTGATATATGAAATGCTTAAAATATGCTAAATTTTCTGTAATGAAAATTGTTTGGCTTCCAAACCAAGTTTAATTCTTGTTACATTATAGATTAAACCATCCAATTTGTTCTTAATGAAATATATCATATGCGGACTCAGGGCATTGATATTCTCAATGTATTTTGAGTCATTTTGATATCAAATTGAATATTTTCTCACTAGTGAGTCGTATGTGATTTTGAATATCTCTGGTTCTCTGCTGTGATAGAATAAGAAAAACCCAGCAAAGAGATCTGCTAAGGTGACTCCTGGTATCTTAGTTAATAAACGGCCACATCTTCAAGTGAATAGGGAACACAATGTAATCCAAGAACACAATGAAGCAAACACAGAAATCCGTTCACCTACAAACTCCAGTAAGAGAGTGTTAAATCAGCAAAGCAAGAGTGATGCAGTGAGGCAATGTGGTGAAGCAGATCGAATGCTTATGTACAAGTGTACCTCAGCAACGGTTGCACATGAGAGCGCATCAGAAAGAGGTACTCCAGAAGTTATTTCGTATGCCTCTTGTAAAAATCTCCACCTTGGTTCTAGGCTCAACTCTGCTGCCTAGTGGGAGCCTAAAAAGATTAGTTTCCTTTTTCCATGTGTCATTTATTGAAAGGGTGTAATTCTGACTCTATTGTTTCCTGTAGATGAAAACAAAGGTTTCTGCAAAACTGAAGCTTTGGACAGTCTAGGGATTTTAGACATAGATTCAAAGCACAGGGACCCACAAATGTGCAGTGTGTATGCCCCTGATATATACACCCACCTGCATGCTATGGAGGTCTGTAATGAGATCTAATTTCATTTTACATTAGCAAAATGTTCATTTATCACCAACTCATTGTATTTCAACCTTAACAATACCAAATAGTCAAATGCAATGCTAATTGTTCTGCTCTGTTATATGTGAAATCTGTGAATCTCTTTTCACTTGCTTCTTCTTTTCAAACCAGCTTGACCGCAGGCCTTCATCCGATTTCATGGAAAGGCTGCAACGAGACATTACCATGGGCATGCGAGGCATACTGGTCGATTGGCTTGTTGAGGTTAGTTAGGTGTACCTGTTTAGATATTGTCTTGATGAGTTCTCCCTTCTGATTTCTAGAGAAATAGAACCTTCCTTTCTACAGCATAATTATTTGTTACGCCATATTTGTATTCTACCTTTTGGGGTTTCTCACCCAGTCCTCCAATGACAGTCACTTTAAGGGTACCCCCCAATCAGTGTCACGTTAGAATATCATGAGAAGAGTATAACAACAACAAAAAGAATCACTGGAATCTTATAAAATGTAGGGTCTTGGGAGGGAGGGGGGGGGGGGTGAGTGTATGCAAACCTTACCCATAGTTGGGAGTAGAGAGGTTGTTTCCAAGAGAGCTCAATATCTTGAGAACATTAACTTGCCATATTCCACCATAAACTTCATAAGACTAATGGCTGTTTTTTCTATTAATCATACAAGGCTGATGTATATTTTATTGTTACATGTTGGCATTACTTTGCCTGTTCTTTCAGGTTTCTGAAGAATATAGGCTAGTTCCAGATACACTATATCTGACCGTGAATCTTATTGATCGTTTTCTCTCGGAAAATTACATTGAGAAACAAAGACTCCAGCTGCTTGGTGTGACATGCATGCTAATTGCTTGGTAACTTCTTTATCTTGCTTGCAATTGCTATCCATTATACTCCATACTAAAAGACTGTTTTCTATTTTCATGGATATTGTGAACATGTGTTTTCATTTTACATTCATACCTTAATTGAGATGTGCTGCATTTCGCTTTTAGCTTCTTGCCTATTACTAAAAGATGTTTTTATTGGGGTGTCCTCTCCGTTAATTATTGAAGCAAGTATGAAGAAATTTGTGCACCTCGCGTGGAAGAGTTTTGCATTGTCACTGACAACACGTACACGAAGGAAGATGTTGTGAAAATGGAAACTCAAGTTTTGAACTTGTTAGGTTTTCGACTTGGTGTTCCTACCACCAAGAAATTCCTCAGGTACTTGTCCTATCTTATGTCCATATTCTTGATTCCCAATAAAACAAATCATGTTTGCCCAAAGCACAATTTTTTTCAATTTTAGTTAGTTTAACTAAATACATCAATGGTGTAACTATATTATGGTCTACCGAACAACACATTAGCTCAGTTCTGATCAATGCTAAATTCCATCTTGGAGCAGGCGATTCGTTCAAGCAGCACAAGCTTCATATGAGGTAGTAAATATAGCACAATCTATTGCTTTCTTTTGTTCATAGGGGTGGAAACATAGCTAATGCTGTTGTGGATTAGGAATGAAATAGGGAAGGAAAAAGTATGAGATGAAAAAAAAGTGGAAAATGGATTTTTTCTTACCTGTTTGGAAAGTGGGTTTTGTTAGAAAAATATGTATATATCGCTTGTAAAGGAAAGCTGCGGGTAGCACACGACAAAAAATGAAGTTATTTTCTCCTTCTTTACTAAAATCTAGCAAACCAAACTGTAAATTGCAGGTTCCATCTGTTGAGCTGGAGTTCTTGGCAAATTATTTGGCGGAGTTAACTCTCGTTGACTATGGCTTCCTTGCATTTCTTCCATCTATCATTGCTGCTTCGGCTGTGTTTCTAGCTCAATGGACCCTCAACCACTCTCAACACCCATGGGTCCCCATTCTTTCTGCTTCTTGATCCTGCTTTTGTTGTCGTTAGCTTTACAATTGAGTGAATATAACCACTAAAGATGGCCCCGTTTTCCTCTCTCTTGCAGAATCCGACGTTGGAACATTACACGAGGTACAAGGCATCCGAGCTGAAAGCACCCGTTTTTGCTCTCCAGATTTTACAATTGAATTCCAACCAATGCAACCTTAAAGCCGTATGTGACAAGTACAAGCAACCAAAGGTACACGAATGCCACTTGAAAATCTTCTTCTTTATTCGCAAGTGTAACTAACATCGACCACCAATTATGGGTAAAATATGCATAGAAACACGCTCTTCCCAAACCCTATTTTTGTGGGATTCTATTTGCACGAATAATTAACAAGCTCTTATTATGGCTTGACACAGTTCAAGTGCGTGGCAACTCTGGCATCTCAAGAACTGCTTCATTCACTGTTCTCGGAATAAACAGATTCTTCTTCATTAACCGTTCTTGGAATGAACAGATTCTGTGTGTGTATGAACCATTGCACTGTACGGATGCGTAAAAAGATTGTTTCTTTGTATTGTGAGCGGCTCTAATCTCGTCACGAAGGGCTGTCAATTTTGTTCTGTTATGTTCATCCCTCAATCTTCTAAAAGAAAATTCAGTTGTAATCAAGTTCTGGTTCTATCAATCTTTGTGCATGCAACAATTGGAAAAGAGACATTTAAAAAGTGGGTTAAGTGATGGTACTATAAATCGACCCTCGGGCTTTGTATTTAGGAGAGTGTTTGTTTCATTGGTTTCTATGTGCCATAAAATTGCTATTACTTGATGTTTTGTATGTACCTTTCTTGTACTCCGTCTGTCTCTAAAAGAATGCAATTGTTACTATTTTGGCCTATTGATGATTTCTGTTTGTTTACTCGTTTTGGTTGACCATCTGATAAAATAAAATATTCTTATTGCATCTTGTTTTGTAAAACTTTTCATGTTCTTTTGAATGATGCAATTTTTACTTTTTATTTCTCTATCAAATAAAATGATTTCAAAAGAAATGATATTTTACACATAATTCAAAATGTGTCAAACAACTAGGGACGGAGGGAGTATAACCAAACTCTTCTGGTGTGAATTCTTTCTCTCCCTCCCTCCCTACACACACACACTTCGTATATATGGAGTATATAATTATTTTTGTATTAATACGTTATATACTTTTTATGTAATTAATGATTAAAATTTGTTCAGTTTGACTATTTAAGCCATACGAGACGGATGTTTTGAAACAACGGAAGTATCAAGTATAGGGAAATGCATTGTATATATTCCATCCGTCCTAAAAAAAAATTCATAGTTATTATTGATAGTATACGGCCAAAATTATTACTCCCCCGTCCCGTTTTAAATTATCCGTTTTGACTTTGGGGCATATTTAAGTAAGAGAAAAAGTAGAGTTGACTTTCCAAAATTGTCATTATTTTTTAGGAGGGGTGACGATGAATGAGAAGATAAGGTGGAGAAGCGTGACTAATTTTAGGGGTAGTTTAGATATTTTGCTCTTAAAATTTTACGATAACAAATAACAAGTAACTTATTTTGGGACGAAGAAAAAAGACAAACAAACAATTTAAATTGGGATAGAAGGAATATTTTTATTTGCCTATTTTTGTTACTGTATTTATTTATAAAACAATAGTCATGCTACATTTTATTTTGTAAAATTTTTATGTACTTACTAAATATTTCTTCTCTTTGTTTCTATTAATTTTCATATTTACTATTTTAAATCAAAGCTTAAATAATCAATTTTTTAAATTTCATTTCTTTTTGTTTAATATATAAATTTTGTTTTTAAAATTTATCTTATTGTTTTTATATAAATTAAACTGAAAATATTCAATCAAATATGGTAATCTGCATTAACTTTATGATTTTAAGTAATTTAGGAACTTTTTAGAGTACAATGATAAAGGGAGGTCAAAAAAATAAGTTTAAATTAAAAGGAAGGTCAATGGCGCGCTTCTGCACGTAGCGGACAAGTGTTTCGGGTCACCGGTCGGCGACAACCCTACAGGGGTACACGTGGAAGATGCTCAGCGCAGCTTAGGTGCGTCACCATCGCAGCTCCGTGCGCGTCACCCACACTGCATCTTCCCCACCGCTGGTTCCCCCCGTAAATATCATCAACTTCAGGCCCAGTTGTAGAATCTATAACCCGAAAGTCCAATTTCAAGCCTTTTCTTTTTCCCCATAAATAAAAAAAATCCGTTATCTGTGAATTATCGAGACACCGATAATCCAATCCCAGCCGTCCATTGTTTTTACCTCGAACCACATCCGAGAGATGATGTCCTTCCACGTGGCTCTCAAGTAACTCTGGAGTAAAGTGAAGAAGCAAAACAAACCCTAGCTGTAAAATGCCCAAAAAAGAAAAAAAAAAAGAGAATCAAATAATAAAAAAAATCAAGGCATCAAATTAGGGTTCCAAATCAAACCTACTCTCACAGTCCATCCCCAACTCTCCGATCCGAACGCCAAAATTGGTCTCCCCCACTTCGACATTTGCGATGCACGGTGCGTGGATTGTTAGATTCTCTCTTTAATTTCGCCGAATTGGGTTTTTGTTCAGTTGATTTTCGATACATGGATCATTGTCTGTTTTTTTTTTGCGTTTTTCTTAACCTGAATCACTACTTAGTTCTGTTGAATTTGGAATTTAAAGCCATGGCTTTGTGGTTTCAGATCTCAAACAAAGGGAGTTGAATGTGCATGATGGTGTGTGAAAATTTGCATGCGGTTTGAGTGATTTCTGTTGGAGACAAATGAGTGCGGAGAAGTTGGGAGGATTGGTGAATTTGAAGAAAAAAAGGTCATTGGATCTCCAGACATTGTATCAGACTGAGGCTGGTAACAGGGGGAGGAGTGATAGTAAAGGGAAGCATAAAGAAGAGGAAGAGAGAAATGGGGTTCGGCGAAAGAGGAAGCAGAAAGGCACAAAGGATGTGTGTTCTGCTAGGTTGGATCGGGTAGATAAGAGTAGCAGCAGAGTGGACGTGGAAGAAGCTAGCGGGGTTGAGGCGCAGCAATCAAATGCAGGATCTGGTGACAGATGGAATGGGCTTCCTTATTGCTTGTTGAGTGAGAACGGTGATCCGGTTAGGGTTCCCAAGCGCCCACGCAACGTTTTCTTCCACAAGAACTCTAAAAACCAGACAGCTTCTCTATCGTTGAGGTTGCAGGGTTCTGCTGATTGCATAAGAAATTTACATGATGAAGCGGATACGTCAGAGGATGCTCATCTGGAAAAGAAGGGATCACGAAGTGAAGCTAGTGGTGTTGACCGGCTGTCTAAGTCAGGTAAAGCTTCTTTAGGTGTAGGGAATGTTGTTTGTAACAAACCAAAGCAGAAAGTTGGTGTTAATGAGTCCAGGGGAAGTAAGAATGCCCGTCTTCCAAAGAAGCCAGGCTTACCAGTAAATGAATCCATTGCTGATGATGATATGGACAAGTTTTGTAAACATTTTGCAGGAAATGCTGCTAGTGAGAAATTCAAGCCGAAGGTGGGTGTTAACAAACCTAAAAGGCATAAGAATGCTCACATGCCAAAGAAGTCGAGCTTATCAGTAAATGAACCCAGTGCTGATGAGGCTATGGCTAAGTTGGGTAAACATTTTGTAGGGATTGCTGTTGGTGAGAAGTTAAAGCCGAAGGTGGGTGCTGATGAATCTAAGAAGCGTAAGAATGCTCGCCTACAGAAGACACCAAGCTTATCAGGAAATGAAACCAGTGCTGCTGATCAGATCATTAATATAGGTAAAGTTTCTGCAGGCGGTGCTGTAAATGGCAAGTATAAGCGGACAGTGGCTGTAAATGTATTCAAGGGGAATAAGAATATCAAGGTTACTTCAGCTCAACACACTATGACAGAAGATGAACATTGTATTATAAAAAATGCTGATGCATCTTCAAAAAAGCGGCGAAGAGTTCATAGGAAGGAAAAAAATCTGCAATCCCGAGCCTTGGATTCTGTAAAGGATGTTGAATCTCCAGTGGCTAATAAAACTCATTGCTGTGATGATTTTCAAGATGATGACGATGAAGAAAACCTCGAGCAAAATGCTGCCAGGATGCTCTCTTCTCGATTTGATCCACGCTGCACAGGTTTTTCTTCAAGAAGAAAATCTTCTGCGTTGTCATTTGCCAACCAGGTGTCCTCACTCATCTCTTCTAATGATCTTACTAGTCAGAATGCTAACTCTCTAGCCAGATCAGAGGCTGCAGCCGGAGTACCACCAATGGAAAAAGATCATAAAGAGAAGAGTGTCCCAAGAAAGCGCCGTCATTTCTACGAAGTTCATCTGAAGGACTTAGATGCGTATGAGGTATTGAATAAAAGAATCCAAGTATTTTTCCCATTAGATGAGACTTGGTGTTGTGGCTTGCTCAAGGACTATGATCCAGAAAAGAGGCTCCATCAAGTCAAGTATGATGGTCGAGATGAAGTATGGATCAATCTTGAAGGTGAAAGGTTCAAGCTCTTGCTTTTCCCAAGCGAAGTTCCTGGAAAGGACAAGTCCAGAAGATCTGCAAAGGGAAGTAGAACTGTATGCGAAGACAAAACAGATTTGGATGTTGATGGAGACAGCCATTCAGGGAGCTATTTGGAGTCTGAGCCCATTATCTCTTGGTTGTCTCATCGATTTAAATCTTCTTCCAGGCCTTTGAAGAAACAGAAAATATCAGAGCAGTCTTCTTCTATTTTGTCATTGCCATCACATGACCAACATGATGATACAAAAGACATTTTAGGCTCCTTGGATATAGAAACTGATGCGGGAACGGCTGGGAAGTCTTCCTCTGGAAGTGGTAGTGTCTCAGAGAACAAAATAACAATTGTTTATATGAGAAGGCGTTTTCGGAAGAAAGTTGAAGGACAATCTTACACCGAAGATGGCACGACATGTGAAAAGATGGCACTAGCTGCTTCCTCTGTGAACAAGTTGACTCTGAAATCTGAAGTGAATACCTTCCCGGGCTCACAAAATGATGCTATGCTGTGGTCTATTGATGATGAAGGCCTCCTAAGCTTATGCTTGCCATTTATAGAGTCCAGACACTTCACCTATGACATACACCTACCAGCTTTATCTTGTATTCAGCATGATGCAGAATACATCTGGCTGTCTCGTATAGTTTTGTTGCTGCAACATGGTGCCATTGTGACAAAATGGCCAGAGGTTATCTTAGAGATTCTTTTTGTTGATAATACTGTTGGACTGAGGTTTCTTTTGTTTGAGTGTTGCCTAAAGGATGCTATGGTTCTTGCATTCATTGTTATGTCATTGTTTAGTAAACCTGATGAACACTTGGACTTTGAAGATACTCGGTTGCCGGTTACTTCTGTACAATTTAAACTCTCTAGAGTTCAAGATATGAATAAGCAGAAAGCATTTGTATTTTATGGCTTTTCTAAACTAGAAAGCTCAAAGTGGATATATCTTGACTCCAAGCTACGGCATCATAGTTTTCTTGCTAAGGATCTGCCTCTCTCTGAATGCACATATGATAACATCAAATCCCTTGAACATCCAAGCAATCAGTTTTCAGCACATAATCATCAGGTATTTTTTACATTTGTTAGTCTTAAATTTTATTCTGAATCTCTCTCTCTCTCTCTCTCTCTCTCTCTCTGCCTCCAACACATTGTTTAATATAATCACTTTTTTCTCAAGTTTCGATACACTTTGGTGTCTCTTCACTTGAAGCATAA